TGCACCTGTTGTCAAATTGCTATAGAGTCCAGTTGATGGACAAACTGTCCAGTGGATCCATTATCTTGGTGGTGGAGCTGGTACGAGAAGCTCCAGAGCAGCTGCTGGCACTGACTCCACTCCATCGGGCAGCCCTGGCAGAGAGGGCACTACAAAGCTTGGTAAGAGTCCACCCTGCCTGACTCAGAGCTGCTACCTGGGGGCAACTTGTACCCCTCAGACAATGCTCCCTGTCTTCTGGGCCCAAGCCCACACTTCCCATACTTCTGCTGCCAAGCAGGTTCTTGTCCACAAGGCCCTGGCCCTTGGATCTACCCTTGGGTTCTATTCCTTGATAATCTGCTTCAGTTTCTTGTCCACATTCCTTGGAGTCCCAGAAGTCCTTTTGATTCCACCACCTAGTCTTTTTGCCTGATCCTATCTGGACTCATTTTTTAAGAAGGTGCACAATGGCAGTGAACATCATAGGGTCTTGGGTTGGGAGCTGGAGAGAGGGAAGGTTAAAGGTCTTGATGTCTTGATCAGAGTCTGGTCCTCTGAGTCAGAGGTGCATGGTCCCAAGGCCTGCTGCCCCTCTCCAGGCTCCAAAGGAGACAACAGTGTCAAGGGAAGTGCTGGAGACATTGGGCCCCTTGGTTGGATTCCTGGGGAAAGAGAGCACACAACGGATCCCCCTACAGATCTTGCTGGCCCATCTCAGTCAGCTACAGGGCTTCTGCCTAGGAGAGCCATTTGCCACAGAGCTGGGATGGCTGCTGTCACAGGAGCCTGTTCTTGGGTATGGACCTTGGGGAACTTCAGGTTCTAACTCATCTTATACCCATCCTCTCAACCACCCTCATCAGTGGGAGTCCATTCAGTATACTTTAGGTCTCCTGAACCCTGTATCCCCAGTCCTAGCATGCCCCTTTCACCCTTCCTTTTCCTTGCAGTTCCCTCAGCATCCCAGCCCCTGGTCTTCTTCCTGTCTCCCAGGAAACCAGAATTGTGGAGCCAGGATGAAGTAGAGCAAGCTGGACGCCTAGTATTCACTCTGTCAGCTGAGGCTATTTCCTTGATCCCCAGGGTGAGGTGAAGGACAAGGTGGGGAATAAGAGTAGAGAGGGGACTGGTGAGCTGGTGGTTCTGGGGAGCTAAGACCAAGGAAGGCAAGGATGTGAAGGGCAAAGGATGTGAAGCTTAAATATGGGGGAGACTATCAAAAAGAGACAGGACTTTGGAATTATAGCTTCAGCAGCTGGCCCTGACCTGCCAGATCTCCCCACCCTCCCTCTACCTTCTCACATAGGAGGCCTTGGGCCCAGAAACCCTGGAACAGCTCCTAGAGAAGCAGCACAGCTGGGAGCAGAGCAGAGTTGGACAGCTGTGTGTGGGGCTACAACTTGCACCCAAGAAATCAGCCCTGGTAGCTGGGGTTGTACGGCCCACTGCAGAGGGTCTCCCAGGTGAAACTCCCCAAATGCTCATATTTCTAGCAGGATGTAGGAGAAAGGGTGCCCAACAACACAGTCAGAAGTCTGGGCTCTAGGTGTGCTGTGCTCTTTGAGCAGATTTGCACACCTTCTGCTCTCTGGGCTTGGGTTTTCTAATCTATAAAGCACAAGGGTTAGAGGGATGATCTTTAAGGTCTCTTTTAGTTCTAGGGTCCTACAGTTCAGGAAATTTATCATCCATTACATTTTTATCCGAGGACTTCCCTTTTTCTGTTTTCTTATCCCAGTTTAACAGCTGACTCAGCTCTAGACTTGGCTAAGTCTGGAGCTTTCTGTTGGGAAGATGCAGTAAGGAGACCCTGTGGGGCTGAGGACCTGGGTTCTGATCTAGATCTACCATTAAGTCCCTGGGCAACCCCCTCAGTCTTCCAATGTATATTGAGGGGTTGTTCACTCCAGTTACTTGTTCTAATATCCTTTGAGTATTATAAATCTCACAGTATAATAATCCCTTGATCCCTATTGCCCACACTGTCCTGTCCTCCAAAGGTCAGAGGGGTTATTCCATCTATAGATATCTCTCTGGGCATACTTTAATACTACACTGACTCCCTGGCCCTGGCTTTCCTCTTCAGAACCTGTGCCAAACTGTGCAGATGTACGGGGAACATTCCCAGCAGCCTGGTCTGCAACACAGATTGCAGAGATGGAGCTCTCAGACTTTGAGGACTGCCTGGCACTATTTGCAGGAGACCCAGGGCTTGGGCATGAGCAACTACGGGCAGCGATGGGCAAGGCAAAACAGGTTAGGGATGGAGAGGTCAATTAGGGTCAGAGGTGGAAAAGTACAAGGAAGCTGATTGGGTGTGGTGTGGGACACAAGGACTGGATAGCTGGGTAAGAGGCGGAAGAAATAAGAGATAAAAGAATTCAATGATTTGGATCCCAGTCAGAGGGGATGAATTGAGGAAAGGAAGCTAGTGCAATGGGTAGAGGCGTTAACGCAGTGGTTACCAAACTTTAGTGTGTATCAAAATCACTCAGGGAGCAGGTTTTTAAAATGTTAATGCCAGGTTCCCAGGCTAGACTCACTGAAGAAGAATTTCTGAGCACTCTGGGATCTGGGCAACTGCATTTAAACAGGCATCCCCAGTGAGTCTGGTGTATGTGAAAGTTTAGAACTTGTGGGCTGGAGTCTGCTGTTCTTCCCTACTGAGACCAAGTCTTTCAGTAGCACCTTAGTCTGAGGAACCTTAATCCAACCTTCTCATTTTACAGTTGAGGAAACTAAAGACTCAGAGAAGGCAAATGATTTGCCTAGTTGCACAGCTAAGGTCAGAGGCAAGACTAGGATCCAGTACTCTGACTCCTAGTCCAGTGCTTTTCCATTCACATTGTTCTTTTTCTCCTAGTTGTGGGGCTCCCCCCAGGGATTTCGTCCTGAGCAAATCCTGCAGCTGGGTCGGCTCTTACTAGGTCTAGGAGAACGGGAACTCCCGGAGCTGATCCTGGAGGACTGGGGAGTACTGAGCACCTTGGGACAGTTGGATGGCTGGAGCTCCGTCCAGGTGACACCTCTCCTCCTCCCTACCACTTTTCGGTCATGCATTCCACAGATCCAGGCCTCTAGGTCATGCAAAGCACAGGGAAATTTTTCCTGTGACTTGACTGGCCATTCTTTGCTAGTAGCCTTAGGAACTCAGTGATTTTTTTCACTCTGAGGCCCTGAACACATAATGCTCCCTCCTCTTTTCCCTGCAGCCTCTTTTTTTTTTTTTTTGTCTTCCTCCTTTTTAGATCCTCAACCTTCCCCATGGCTATTAGATCTTCAGGTCTTAATCACAAAAGAATATAATCCAAAAGACTATACTCCAACCACTTGTCACTCCCCTAATCATTTCCCCCTGTCCATGAAGCCCCTGTAACTGCTCTCCTTATCCTGTGCCCCCCATCCCCACCCCAGCTCCGGGTTGTGGTCTCCAGTTTTCTGCGGCAGAGTGGCCAGCATGTGAGCCACCTGGACTTCCTTCACCTGACTGCACTGGGTCACACACTCTGTGGACTGCAGCCAGAGGAGCTACAACATATCAGCAGTTGGGAGTTCAGGTCACCTGCAGAGGGGATAGGGGGTGGTGGTGAGGCAAAAGTGGGCACACTAGGGAGAGAAGGATCATGAAGTTGTCCCATGGAAGAAGGGACCTCACTTGAAGTCATGTCTACTCCTATCTCATGACCACAGACCTTACCACTGCAGCTGAATCTTCCCCCCACTTCCTTCCCACTCTTCCACAGCCAAGCAGCTCTCTTCCTCGGCAACCTGCATCTCCAGTGCTCCGAGGAGCAGCTAGAGGTTCTGGCCCAGCTCCTTGTGTTGCCTGGTGGTTTTGGCCCAGTCAGTAACTGGGGACCTGAGATCTTCACTGAAATTGGGACAATAGCAGGTAGGAAGGCTGGGCCACTGCCGGTGCTAGTAGTCAGGGACTGGTTTCCATACCATGGACAGCTTGGGTGGAGGACTGCTCTGGTGAGAGTCTGAGAAGGCAGTTAGGAAAGAGATTGTGGAGATGTGTTGGGGAAGGTGTATGGTAGGGCACTTAGGGAGCAGTTTGAGGAGAAGGTCTGTAGGTTTGAAAAGAAGGGAGGCCAGTATGATACGTTTGGATACCCACTCCATCTCACTTGCTCTGATAGCTGGGATCCCAGACCTGGCTCTTTCAGCACTGTTGCGGGAACAGATCCAGGGCCTTACTCCTCTTGCCATTTCTGTCATCCCTGCGCCTAAATTTGCTGTAAGTATTGAGGGACTAGGGTTTGGGGTGACCACAAGAGAACAAGGAAACCATGGGGGCTAGTATGGGTACACTGATTCCCACCCCCACCCCCAGGTGGTGTTCAGCCCCACCCAGCTATCTAGTCTCACCAGCATTCAGGCTGTGGCTGTCACTCCTGAGCAAATGGCCCTTCTGGGTCCTGAGCAGAGACGAGCAGTTGCATGGGCCCAGCATGAGGCGAAGGAGAGCCCAGAACAGCAGGGTGAGTTCCCAACTGCACTGTTTGACCATCCAACACCTAACTCAGAATCTAACCCTTATCTTGGTGCTATCTGGCTCACAGGACCACTCAGGGAGATTCCTGGAGATAAAGGTTCTATAGGCAGATAGTTTTCAAGTATCACTGACTCCTGGGGAGCAGAGTTGTGCTATTCCTACCATTCTCTGTTTCATTACAGGTCGAAACACAGCCTGGCACCTTCAGGACTGGTCACAACCTGCCTGGGCCCTGGCATTGACCATCTGCTTCCTTGGCAACCTGCTTTGCACCTGTCTCTGCAGTTAAAGACAGATTGTTGGGAAAGAAACTTATAAGTGATAATAAAGTGAAAATGGATGTGCATTCTAATAATCTCAGGAAGCTGATAGGGATTATGGTAAAATGCTAATGTCTTCCACCCACGTGAGAATCAGTGTGCCTGGCAGTCTCTTTCCATCATAAATAACCCCACTGCCTCTTTTCCTTTCTTGGAGGCAAGTCTCTCCTTTTCCCACCATTAGAAATAACACACGCAGCTGGAGCATAGCAAGGAGTCTTTACTAAGACAAAGGGAGTGAGGTCAAGACATCCAGGGCAAATAGAATGGGCCACCATTAGAATGAGTAGAAGTCCTGAGGATCTTGAATCATCATCTGCTGGGGATGGGAGTTAATGCTTGCCATGGATAAGAGGTGGAGGGATGCGGATATCCTGGCCTCTCTCCAGACGGCGCTCACAGTCAATCAGATAGTTTACTCCATCGATGACCAGCTGCACCAGCTCCACCTGCAGGACACTAACCCTTGATCTCTGTTTTCCACAACCTGCGTTTCTTTCTATAGCACTGATTTGCCTGCTTTAGCAACTCATTTCCAGTTGCCTCCCCACTCTATCTGAATTTCATTTCAGATTCTATTACATTCCTGAGGCTCACTCACCATCACTTCAAGCCCCACAGATCTATGCCTCTGCTCCCACTAATCCCTAAAAATCTCACCTCTGACTTGCCAAGTCGGTCCAAATTAGAGATGTCAAAGATGCTGCCTGTGGCAGCTGTGTCCACTCCTCCAGTGCCACGCTTTTGGAGCCTTAGATTCTCCAGGATCTTTGAGAAGCGGCTATCCTACAAGGGAGATAGGGGTTGGGGGTAGAGACTGGTCCTACCGGAAAGAGCTCTGGACGTGCTCAGAGCTCTTCCCCCTTCCCCCTCAGATACAGTGTGTTTGGTTCCTTTCAAAAGTGCCTGTTCCCTCCCATCCACAAGCAGCCACTTTCCTCACTCACACTCCTCTCTAACCCCACAGCTTCTTTACTTTGCTTAGCAGGGGCAGTTTGACATGCACTCCTGCCCGAAGTCCGGTGCCCAGGTTAGATGGACAGGTCAAGATGTATCCCAAATGCTCATTCCACATGAACTCCCAGCCACGCTCCTGGATCAGCCGCTCCACCTGAGTCCACAAAGGCTGTGTTAGTGACAAGTCAGGGATATGTGAACCCTCCCTCAGCTGGACTCATGGGAACTCTAGCGATATGTCTAGAACCAGAACTTGGGATGTGAAAAAATGATACTGCTTTTTTTTTTTGGAGAGGGGTAGGTGGAAATGGTTTGTTACTATCATGCATATCAGGTAATTTTGATGTTGCAAGCCCATAGTGAGGAAACTGCAGAAAAATCTTGTGCGTGGAAGAAGAGAAACTTGAGGGAATGATGCATTAAGGATAATCTAGGGAAAAGAATGGAGGTGGTAAAGTGAACTGAGAAAAGATTGATTATTCAGTGAGCTCAGCATGCACTGATTATCTTCTTTGTTAATGAGCCTAAAGCTTGGAAGGTTTCTTTCAGATGAGGGTATAGGCTTTGCAACAGGAAGAGGAAAGAAAGCCTTCTGTTAGATATACAAAGAGTACATGTGAGAAAGAAGAGAGAAAGGTAAAAACAGTCCAGAAGAGGCAGACTCATAGTTATATATATGTGAGAGAGGAATGTAGTGTGGGAAGGGTATTTTTGTTTCACTTTAAGTGTCCTGTTATGAAGATGACTATTAGAGTTGAAAAGACAGGGATCTGCCAGAGTGATGGACATGAAAACTACCTAACATGAGTAGAGGAGATCCTGTTCATAGTTTAGAAAGAACCACAGCATAGAGCCATATCTCGCTGAATGAGCAGAGGCTCTTCCATCTAGAAAAATAATAGCAGCTAACATTTATTGAACACTTACTATGGGCCAGGCACTTTACCGTTTAAATGAGATAAATGCATTATCTACTTTAATACCCACAACAACCTAAAATGTAGAAAATCTTATCATCCCAATTTTACAGATGAGAAAACTGAGGCATATAATTTCAGAAGGACTTCCCTATCTGCTTCCAGTCAGATATGTTACGTATTACTTGCCAAAAACAAGAGAAACTTCCCAGCTAGAATATAAGAGGAAGAGGAGCTCTCTCTCTTTACAAGTCCAAAATAGTGGATATATGAGAACATACACTAAGAATTCTATCTATGAAGATTTCTAATCTAAAATTCTATATGGGAGTGAGGATTCAGTTCAACCCCCTCATGTATAGCCACACATTCTTACATTCTGGAACTTAAGCCATTTCATCTTCCACCTTTCACAGTCTCTCCCCTGCTCTAAGCTTAAAATCCAGACATGATATTTCAGTGAGAGTGACAGAATCCAGAGTCAAGGCCTACCTTGGCTCAGAACTGGCTGGTTACATTAGAATCATGGACACACCAATCTCTTACTACTTAAATCGATGGATTCAGGCTCAGACCTTTTCCTTATCTTCACACCCCACCACCCCACAAGGTATATACACCAGGCACTGACCCACCATCTCAGTTACTCCTTCTTTGCATTATCTGACAACTGATTAATTTACTTCCTCAGATTCCTGACATTCTTTCTCCCTTCCTATTCTTAGGGTGACCATATATCCTGGTTTTCCTTGACAGTCCTGATTTAGATCTATTGTCCTGGAGTGATTGATGGTGATCCTTTCACTATCAAAACTGTCCTGTGTTGGTTGATAAATTATGTGGTCAATCTATCTATTCTAATCTTTGGTTTTTCCTTATATCCTCCCACCTAGTTCCCTTATACATTTTTTTCCAACCTCTTTGAGGCCTCGGCAGAATCTTTCAAACACTCTCTTCATGTTTCCACCCTTCTCCATGGAAATGACCCGCGTGTGATCCTCCTCATTTACCCAGATCAGGAAGCTTTTCTCATTGTTGTGCCTAAGGGCAGGAGAGAGGGAGGGGACAGGGATCAAGAGGCAGGGCAAGAATCAGCAGGGAGACAAAGAAAAAAGGCACCCATGTAAGGCTGGGAACAAAAGAGGTAAACCTCCTACCAGATTCCACGAGCATCTGGCCAGTCTCGAGCCATTCCTGCTGCAGTCAGCAATGGGGACACAGGCTTATCAAATAGGAAGTGGTCCTGTGGGGAATAAAGGGGCTTGGGTTAAGAACCCTCAGAGCAGCCCCTGGACTTCTCAGAGTCCATCTGTTGCATCTGGCCCAGCCTCCCCTCTGACTCTTTTTCCATCTGCTCCCTCCCACCCAGCTCCTTCTCAAGGCCCCTCACATCAATAAGCTGCTGCTGCTCAGCCTCTGTCATTTCACTGAGCCGATAGTAACGTCCAGCCAGGTCACCCTTCAGGCCACTCAGAGCCTCCACCACAACACGTTCCACCTCTCGTCGCTCTGCCCTTGTGCAGGCTGGAGGCAGGCTAAGTCCCCGGATACTTCGGCCAGTTCTGACTCTTGAGGACAATACATACCTCTCATCAAAGTAGCCAGAACGGATCTGGGGAATAAGATAAATTAATGTGTAAGTCACAGAAACACAGTGGGTGGGAACTTAGGGCTTCAGAACCTTAAGGACTGGAGGGGTCCTCATTGCATGCCTTAGAAGAAGAAGGCCACTGGCAAACACTCCAATTGAAGGGGGCATTATGAACCCTCTGCCAGACTGCCCACCTGGGATATGGCCCACCCTCTTCTTTCCATATTTGCTGCTTCTTAAGAGGAAATTCCTTCCCCATGTCAAGAGTAAAATCTCCACAGTATAATGACCATGAGTCAGAAAATAATTAAGGAATTAAGGTGAAGGGATTGGAGAAAAAGTGTTGCACATAGGCAATGCAAATCAGAAACAGAATATCTGACCCACCTTGCTGGCATCCAGGTCAGTAGTGTGTTTCATTGTCTGGGGGTCATATCCATTGTGTCGCTCTTGGATCACAGGGTCAAACAGCTCAGCAAATACCTGAGGGGGCATTAAGAGGGAGACGGTGATTAAGGAAAGGGAATTCCTTCCCAGGCTTTAGTTATGGGTTGATTTCACTGAATCAGTAAAACATATCTCAAGGGAAAGTGAGGGGTCTGTAAGGGGAAGGAACTGGGATTACTGGGAAGATGAATTGGGTCACCAGGGCAACTCTGAGGGCCCCCTACCTCATAGGTCTCCTCATCTCCAGCTACCATGCCCACAGTCTTGATGAAGGGGTGGCCGGGGTTGTCCACGCCAGTCTGGATACACTGATCTAGCGTCCAACCAGTGGGTGTGGTCTTGTCGCAGAGCCGGGCATAGACTGCTGGGGTCAGGTGACTGGCCATGCAGTTGTTGTGCTTTCGGAGGTCTGGGTACTCAGCGCTAGGGAGGGGGTACCCAGTAACCATGAGGGAGGGCACAGGGGGCCTAGGCTCAGTGCAGTCAGCTGGGAACTGTCCAGTTAGCCATGTCTGGCTTTGCTCCTTAGGAGGAGGCGAGATTAGGAGGCAGCTAAACCTTGGTAATCTCATTAGGGATTTTTTCAGGGTCTATTCTTTCCCAACAGTTCTAGCTTCCTCTAGCTCTCCGGCTCAGTTCCCCTAGATTTGCTCAGTTCTTTCTTCCCAGGAGCACAACATTAGGGATGGGGGAGGGGAAAGACCAAGGAAGGATATTCAGAAAACGGGGGAGAACAGCAGGAAGAAGAGATGGAGGAGAGCGAAAAAGATAATTCCTGGTCTCTCAATCAGGGATCTGGGCAGAGTGGGTGCAGTCAGAGCTCACAAGGCCGGAGCTGGTCTTGAGGGCGGGGAATTCGCGTTACCGGTCCCCAGGTATGCTTTCACCTTATGATTTGAGTCTCCACCCCCACCCCACTGATGTCTCCAAATTGCACAGCGCCCCATTCCAGAGCCTTCGTGATTACAGCCCTTCTCTGTTGCCCAAGTCCTCATCTCCATCCCCATCTTCGTTTCTCTTCATCACCTGCCCACCCATCCCCTGCGCCTCAGACACTGATACCTCGGGGGATACAGTCTCCGTCGCTCACTGGTGGCTCGTACAGATTCCGGGCGGAGCAGAAACCCAGCGGCTAGAGACCCAGCTCCAGCCAAAGCCAGGAGCCTGAGCCTCCGGTGGGCGGCCAGCAGACGAGAGAAGGGTCCAGCCATGGCCTGAGGGTCTGGAGACAGAATCCCGGAGCAGGAGCTCGCGTACGGCAGGAACGGAGAGGGAGGACGCAAACACGCGGATGGATGGCCGGAACTGGGCGCGAGGCTGGAGCTGAAGTGGGGGCCGGAGTGGAGGCTGGAGCAGGAGTGTGAGCTGGTACCAAAGGGACTGCGGGAGAGGCGCAATGAGCCAGCGCCGGGCGGGAGAAGAGGGAGGCCCGAGCCGCAGTCCCCAGGGGTGCGGCTCACGCAGGCCCCGCCTTCCCGCCTGCCACCGTGCTAGGTGAGCGGGGGCGGAGGTGGGCAGCATGCGGCAGGTAGATTAGGGGGACCCGAGATTCGCAGCCCTAGGCCAACGACGCGGGCCCACCAGGGATGAAGCCACCCAGATTTCAGCACCAAGTGCAGGACAGCACCCAAGGGGACTGGCAAAAACTGAATACCCTTCCCCCAAGCCTCTCGGTTTAATCGGAAACCAGATTCGTCACTCTGTGGGTGTGAAAAGGTGACATTGCCCAACCTCTTCTCTGTTTTTGGCCTGCCCCAGCAACCTCCTCATTCTCCCCCCCAAGGGAAGGTGGCCGCGGAGAAACCGCGGAATAAACAAAGAAACCAGAGGAGACACGGAGAAAGCACACAGTTAAGAGGCAGACACTGGGAAAGACACCGCTGGCTCAAGGTCACCTTCTCCTTAAAACCAGGAAGAAGACCGAGGCGCCTCCCTGTCACACTTGTGCTCTGCTTACAAGGTTGTTGAAGGATTCCTTGCGCGGAATCAGGGATACATTAACTTATCCCGTCTATGCTGTGTTCCCACTCCTGCCCTGTGTTTCCACTCGGGCCCTGCTATGTCCTGGTTTCACGTTTCATGATCCCAACCTTTTTTTCCCCTCCTACACCCTTCTCCTCTTCCCCTATTTTACCTTTGATCTTTTATTTCTCACCGTATTTTCCAGTCTTGGACCTGTTTACTGCTCACGGGACTCCGAGTATTCTCTGCAAGCTTGCCTACCTGTTGGTTGCACTGGGTATGGGGCTGGGGTTCGGCAGGGAATTGTGTTTCCTCTTCCTCCTTTCCCTTCTCTCCCCTCTCTCTAGTTCCTGGACTGGAAGGGAGTGTTAGATGAGGTGAAGGGTGTGGTAAGATTACCGGGTGCAGGAATGGAACAGGCAGGTACAAGTCTCCAACCACCGTTGTTTCTTCTCTTGGCTCCCTAATGCTGTTCAACCCAGAGTGTAAAGGAGAGTGGTGTTCAAGGGCATAAGGTTAGCAGAGAATCTCCACCTTCCTCCTGGCACCCTCTCTTCCTTTTCTCAGTAGGTGAATATTCAGATTGGAGAGGGCTTTGTTCCACAGCTCAAGTGTGACTTGAGTATGACTTGACCTTTGTCCTGGCAGGAAGCCCAAACAGAGATTTGGGGCTTCAGCATGGAGGGTCAGTTAAGGTGGGGTAGGCACTGTGGCGTTAGTACCCGTGAGATAGTAAGGAATTTGGAAATCTTAAGAGAGAGTATTTGAGAAAGAGAGATTCCCTTCACATTGTCCTCTGGCAGCACTGATGAGACCCTACCCCACTCCTATACTCAATACCTTCGTTCCTCACAGGCTTCCCTTACGTTCATTTTCCTTCCTTCCTCATTTGTGGGCATCCTTGGAAACAATCCACTTCTCTTTTGGGCCCATTACTTAACTCTTTCTGATAAGACAGCAGTAGTCAGAAAATAGAGAAAGTCCTGCAGTTGGAGTGTGGTCACTCGTGGAAAGATGGAAAATGTTACTTGTGTTCTGGGGGCTCACGGGGATAAGTAGTAGCTGTAAATGAATATTACTACTTGGAATGGTGTGTATTTGCCCAGATAAAGGAGGGAGATAATCTTTCAGAACAGTAGAATTGTAACTTGATTGAGAGGGTGGAGAGACAAGGTTAAAGAGGTAGGGAACAGGAAGACAGAATTACAGAATGAAAAATAAGACTTGCCCAGAGCAGTAGAGAAATGACTGAAGTTTGGAGACTAAGATGTCCAAATTTTGAATAATAGCTCCACTGAGAAAGACATGTATTTGTGTACTTTTCTTAGTCCTTGTGAGCCTCTGATAGCCACGTATAAGTGTACTCATTTAAAAAAAATCATAGAGCATATGGGAAGTAATTGACATATGTAATATTGGCTTTTTTATAATAATTAATACTATTTAATATGTATAAAGCACTTTACAATTACAAGGAACTCTTGTATGTACTATTTCACTGAATTGAAATGGATTGTTCCAATGGGGACTGAGTCTATATTTTCAGGGGGATGAGAATACAAATTAATTACCTAGAAGATGATTTAATAACTTTTTGAAGTGTTGGAGTGGTGGAGGGGATATGAACCTGAGGCTGAACTAGGGAGCTATCTATTTCCCTTAGGACCAGTCCTTAGAATTATCTCTATCTCTTTCAGGGATCCTTGGGGTTAGTATAATGAAGCACCTGACTGAAAAAGTAGTAAGACCCCTAAGGTTGCAGGGAACTTGGAATTGTCGTGACCAGGGAAACCTAAGTGAGGATGCAAAGATATTAATAACAATATGAACATACACAAAATACTTTCATATAATCAGTACCCTATGAGTTAGGTTTTTAAATTCCACTCTCTTACAGATGAGAAAACAGAGCCCGAGGGAAGTTCAGTGACTTGTTCGGGTCTGCACAGCTATTAAAGGCAAGGCCAAGATTCAAACCAAGGTTTATCTGGTTCCAGGTCTAGAGGGTAAAGATCAGAAGAGTGTGGAAGTAGGAATCAATTTGTCCAGTCTTTCATGTTCTTCCATTTTCTTGTCTCCTCCAAAAATAAGTTCCTCTGTTCCTTGCCTTGCCTTTCTGATCTCTTTCTTCTTTCTCCTCTGTTTTTGTCTCCAGTCTCCTTATCACTGTTCTACCTCTGTTAATATTTTCAACCTATATTGATTGGATCTCTATAGCTTACCCCGTTTTGCTTTATAAAACAAACAGAAAAAAGACCTAGTTTTGTTCTCAAGAAGGTGCAATGGCACCAATTATCTCTCTTCCTCGGCATCTCGCTTTTTCCCTGGCCTTCGTCTCCTTGGGAAGTCTGTCTAGACCAAGCTTCTCAACTGTGGCGACGCAGTCAGAAATTGGAGGAAGGGGAGCACCAGGTTGCACTTCTTCCCCAGAGCCACTAGGGGCCACCCTCCTCCGCCCAGAAGTGTCGGCCAACGCAGCCTGACTCTGTGGCCGGTGCGCGCCCTCCGTTGATTGGTGGCACCTCAGAGAAGTCGCGTTTTAATTGGGTCGCTGTCAGGTGTCTCTGCCGGCAGGTTCGGCTGCGCGAGCTCAGGGAGGCGGGTGAGTGAGGGCCGGGGGCGGTGGGGGAGTGGCTGGGGGCCGGGGGCGGTATCTGAGGGGGTGGGCTGGGTAGAGTGGGCTCGGTTGATGCTGAGGGCCGTGGTCAGCACCGGCTGGGGGGCGGCTTCGGAAAGAGGCCCTGTGGAGAAGCCTCAGTGTCAGCGCCGCGGGAGTGAGGCGCAGAAGGCGGGGGCGGGCAAAGGTTGCTGGGGTCGGGATGGGAGGGCGGTGTTCTTGACTCGGAGCTGTGTGAGGCGCGACAGAGGAGAGGGTCAGCGAGAGCAGAGGTGGGCGCGTGAGGGTCTGCGTGAGGAAGAGGAGGTGCTGCGGAGCAGTGGGGTCGGCAGGGGAGGTCTGTGTGCGGGGGCGTGGGAGTGGAGTCCACGGGCGGTCGGCTTGAAGAGGGGGTTTTCGCAGAGAGGTGAGCCTGGAGAGGGGGGTAGTGTAAGGAAAGAATGGATCTTAGGCAGTCTTTGTCGGGGATCGTTGAGGGTTCGCTGTATGTTACCGAGTGTGGTAACTCAACTGAGGGTTTGAGAGACTGTAATGCTCAGGAATCAGTGACGAGAGGATTAGTTAGGGTATGGGATTCGTTGATCAGTGATGGGAGGGAGCAGCAGTCAGTCTGGGGAGTGGTTAGGGGAGTCGATGAAGAGTCATTTTAGCAAGATAGGGAAAGAAAGTATGAGTGAGTTGATACTGAGAACGAGGGCGTCAGCACAGTTCATCAGTGTCAGAATAAGGGTTTGTATAAAGATTTAAGACTGCATCAGGAAGGAATGAAGAGGCCCACTGTTGCAGGTGGGAAAGAGACGGTGTTGGTTGGCAGAGTAGGTTTACTGTATTGGAAGTATTCCTGCCTGGACTGTCTTGGTAGCTCCCCTTCACCACTGATTTGTATATTTGCATCAAGTGCATGGTGATGAGCAAAGTAGAGAACGACTGCAAGCAGCTCTAAATTCTCAGAGAAAAAGAAGTTACACAGTTTATGTGCCTTCTACCCCTTTTCCAGATCTGATTTAACATACATGTTCCAGTGAAGATTGCTTACTTGCCCCTCCTTCTCTCCTTACCTCCCTCCTTCTCTCCTTACCTACCTATCCCCTCCCACCCTCTTTGCCTTCTTTCCACACTGACTCAGGCCAGAGTAAGGCTTCCTCTTAGCCTAATGTAGAGTCTGACTTTTCCTTGCTTCCAAAACAAAGCATTGAGGGAGAGGGGGAAGGGGTGAAGGGTGCAGAAAACAGCGGAATAGCTCTTGGAACACATTAAATCCAAACTTCTCCCAGAGGTACATCTAAATAAATCCTGGTGTATTTCATAACTATTTCCGTTAGGCTTCTATTTTTTTGCTTTGTTAACTATAAATTTTGACCTTTCATCTCTCCTCAGCTCAGTATCTGTGAGCAGACTGTCCTTCCCCATAGTGTTGCCATCCTGTTACAGAATTGTAATAGAATTTTGAGGACATGACTGTATACATTCAGTAGAAAATCAGGAAGGGCTTAGGAAAAGAAAAGTGAAGGGTTAAGAATATTAGACATGAGAGAAAGCTTCTGCTTCAGAGAAAGAATAAAAAGTCAAACAAATTCTGTTTAAGCTATGCAGGGACCTTGGGAATGCCACAAGTCATGAAAATTGGGCCAACTCACCAAAAAGGTGTTCAGAGAGATAGCCTGTTAATCAAGAGGGGTGGGGGGGTGTATGTGTAAGACCTATAGTGCACAACTAGAAATGTTAATTCTAAGTAGGCAGTGGTGCTCCCGTGGTGGTTGAGCAACATAGACAAGCAGATGATGAAAACTGGGAAGGTCAAAGTCTATATAAAGGTTAGCTATAACTTTCTAAAAACTGCAAATCGCACTTGTAATGGAAGGGTTTAAAACTAAAATAAAAGAGCTAATTATTGAAAATTAAATGTCTATAAGACTAAATCCATTTACTTACAGAGTGTGTGAATTTCATTAGTGTTATTGGTCAGTAATTTCTGAGAACTTTTGGAGAACATGGAAAATTGCTGATGTGTGACTCAAATTTATTCTTGGAAAAAAACAAGATACCCATATCCCCACAAGCTAGTATTAACAAATGTTAACCTTTTGTATATTTGCTTCAGATTTTTAAAACATTGAAATAAACATTATATATAAGATTTATAGATGAAGTCCCATTGGAACCCTTCTCATTTCTGTTCTCCCTCTCCTCAGAGGTAACCACTATCATGAATTTGTTGTCCTTCTTTCCAGTCTGTGTTTTTTTACTTCAACCAATTATGGACACAATCACAAACATGTATTTTTTACTTACTCAAACAGAATTGTACTGCATGTGTATTTCCACGGTTTGCACTTGGAAGCTGCCCATGTTATATAGAGCTTTGGTTTGTTTTTAAAATTGCTGTTAGTCTATCATTTGTATACACTACGCTGTATTTATCCATTCTTCTACTTGTGACATCTGAGTTGTTTTCACTTTTTCCCATTACCAACAATGAGGTTATGGACATCCTTGCACATGTCTTATATGGAAGAGTTTCTCTGCATCAGGGTTTCTAAACTGGTACTACTGATGTTTTGAATTAGGTAATTCTTTGTGGTGGGGGAATGTCTTACACATTTTAGAATGTTTAGCATCATCCCCGGCCTTTATGCCAAAAAGCACCTCCCCATTTGTGACAACCAAATATGTCTCCTGCCACATGTCTCCTGCACAGCATAATCACAATTGGCTAAGAACCACTACTCCAGGTGTATGACAAAGTGCAACTGTGAGGTTGTGCTGACTCAAGTTTAAGGCTTACGGTGTTTTCGCTGATTATGGCTCTAGGCAGGATTTTTTTTTCCCCCACTGTTGCTTCTGGTGTGAGGGACCTTGGTCTGGACCAGATTTGGGTTTGTAGTACCATGAGATGGTGGAGAGAAAACTGAAATTTAAGTTTGAGAATGGGTTGGAGGCTGCATATGGATGCCTGTATTCGCAACCTCCCAGCCAGCACTAGACCTCTTTCCTTGAACAAAGAGATGGGGCCATAGGAGATTTTAATGTTATGATATAATGCTTAGAACATAGGGTACCCTCAGTAAATGTTTTTTAGTTAATCTTTGGTAGCAATAAAAATGGTGGGGGGTGGGGGGTAAGGACAAAAGCAGCTGAGCCCTCTGGCTCCTCTGCCCTTGAATTAAATCCCTGAGTTCAAGGACAACTGTGGAAAGTTGGAGAAGGGCTAGGAACATTTTGGAATGAATCCAAAGTTTGAAATGTCACTCGAACCTTCTCTTCTGGTAGGAATCAACAGTAGTCTTCCATGAGGAACTGCCTTTCCCATTTGCTGCTGGAGTTACTGGTGTTTCCTGCTGGCAGAATCGGGGACATGCCAGCACTGTAAGGGTTAATCTACTGATCCTCTTACCAGTCTCACGTTTGGGGGTGGGGTGAGCAGGGAGGAAAAGGGGGACCTTGCTTTTCCCTTTCAGACCTTTAGTCATTTCAAGTCATAGCCCACATGACTCCTTTCCTGGTGGTCCTTCTTACCATAGCTTTTTTTCCTGTTACCCCTAGTCCCCTTGTGGTTGCCTCTTAATTTTTCATTTCCCATCCTTGATTCACACCCACTACCATGGGACTTGGATGCTGAGCTAATGGGATACCTTCCCCTACAGAGCGGGATGAGTGGGTGCTCCGGCGGGGATGTGGTCATTGCCGGCCAGTGAGGGCCCGAGCGCCACAGCCCACTTCTTCCTTGGAGCTGGAGATGAGGGGCTGGGCACCCGTGGAATAGGCATGAGGACAGAAGAGAGTGACAGCGATCTCCTTGAGGATGAGGAGGATGAAGTGGTAAGACTAGGGAAAATGATGGAACTCGGTGTTGGGAACCCTGTCGTAGAGACTTGAGATTCCATTGAGTGGAGACACTTTTCTTTCTTTCCAAAATGTACAAACTCCCTGTCATAAATAGACCCTATCCTGATTAAGTGGAAGGGTAGTGGAAATTGGTAAGATTACCTCTCTTTGAAGCCCTTGTCTTTATGTTCTCCTCCTATTGTCTTTTGGTTATTGGTTCTTAGGCTCTTCTGCCTGAGCACACATATCCTCCTGTGGAAAGGCTCCTATTATTTAGGTGGTAGAATCCCTACAGATTTAGACCTCAGTTAGGAGAGAACCTTTATTCCATAAGTCCAAAGTCCTGGCAAAAAATTGTGCCCTAAGGAGATGAGGCTGTCCCCTGATAGGGATGGTCTAGGTGGAAAGTTACTGAGTTCCTGACAGCACTTCCTTTCTGTAGCCTCCTGAACCTCAGATCATTGTTGGCATCTGTGCCATGACCAAGAAATCCAAGTCCAAGCCAATGACCCAAATTCTAGAGCGACTTTGCAGATTTGACTACCTGACCGTTATCATCCTGGGAGAAGATGTGATCCTCAATGAACCTGTGGAAAACTGGCCATCCTGCCACTGCCTCATCTCCTTCCACTCCAAAGGTTGGGGGTCTGTGAAGGAAAATGGGAAGGTGTGGTGTTGGGAATGCTGGACTAGGAAATGAGGTTTTCACTGTCAAAGAGTAAAGATGCCATCAGCTCTTCCTGGCACATCTGGAGAACAGTGCAGAGGGGTCTGCTTTCCCTGCATCTTGGAGGAGCTGCTGGGGGATAGTTTAAAGCCCATATTTAAACTTCAGCACAGCTCTAAGGCTGTGAGGATCTCTGAAGGGACCCTAAAGATAATTTCTTTTTTACTTTTTCCTGATGGATATTCTAGACTTGGAAGTTGTACAGAAGGATAAATGATGGGTTGGATGTGTAGAGGAGTTCAGTGGCAGCTAGTAGTTTTAATGTCTTTTATTTATTTTAAGTAATGTCTCATTTCTCTTAAATAATATCTCTTATTTCTCTGTTTTCTCACTCTGTGTTTCTTTCACTGTCTTTCTCTGGTCTCTCAATTTCCTTTCTCAATCCCAGGATTTCCTCTGGACAAAGCTGTTGCTTACTCCAACCTTCGAAACCCCTTTCTTATCAATGACCTGGCTATGCAGTATTACATCCAGGATAGGTACAGCTTTCTATTGAATGGTGGGATGGGTGGCCCTGAGATCATGCCTGTTTAGAGAACCCACTCTGGGAGGGGCAGAGACAAACAAACGTGCTTGATTTTTGTACCAAACCCTCTTGAGATCTATACCCAGGTATCTCCCAGTTCCTGAGCAAATGAAATCCCTAGCCTCTCCCCTTAGTCACTATATTCTACCTCTCCCAGCTAATTTATTTGGGGTGACAGGAGGGAGGTGTACCGGATTCTGCAGGAGGAGGGTATTGATCTGCCTCGATATGCTGTGCTCAACCGTGACCCTGCCCGGCCTGAGGGTGAGTACTTGGCCTTTCTAGTCCTGCCCTACCTTGCTTTCTATAACAGCCCAGTTCTCCGTCCTCTAGACGTGTCCTTTGTACTACCTGTCTAAGCGAGGCTTTGAGTATTGGATTATGGGTAGAATTAGAGTCATGAGTCTTTGGACAGAACCTTGAACCTCTTACAAAGGTATTATTACATCTATATGCCATATAGATATCACCATATCTATTACCAATATGTGGCGCTAGAAATTTTAGAGTTATGGAAATTAAAACTCAAGAGAAATGGGAATTGGAAATGTTCCACACCCTTAGGCCCTAAAAATGACCACATACCTACCTTTCAGAGTGCAACCTGATAGAAGGTGAGGACCAGGTAGAAGTAAATGGAGCTGTCTTTCCCAAGCCCTTTGTGGAGAAGCCAGTGAGTGCAGAGGACCACAATGTTTACATCTACTACCCCAGCTCAGCTGGAGGAGGAAGCCAGCGCCTCTTCCGTAAGGTGTGGGGGACATTTGAGTATTTGGGGAGTCAGAGAGGTAGAGGGACAGTGAGTTTGTGGGGAGGGAAGTTGAAGGATTTGGGGACAAGAGAGAACAACATTTTTTTCTTCCTTTTCCTAAAAGATTGGCAGCCGAAGCAGCGTTTACTCTCCTGAGAGCAGCGTCCGAAAGACAGGGTCATACATCTATGAGGAGTTTATGCCAACAGATGGCACGGATGTCAAGGTTATGGTGGATACAGGGATTTAAGAGGTTATAAATGTCTGGGTGGGATGGGGTGCTTGGGAAGCAAGTGGAAGTATGTGGAGGGGGTCATAGAAAATATAGTGTGAGTGTGATTGGCTTTCATAATCAAGTGAAGATAGCAAGTGGGGAAAGTAGACAGTTACATTGTCACTATCAGAGCAAGGGCAAGGGTGATGGAAATAGTATAATGTTGGTCAATAACTTCTTAATAAGCTAGACGTTAGTGCTGGGGTTTCTACGGGAAACCTTCGTAATGATACTTTAGTCAGTTTCAGTAAGAAACATGTCAGTCTCCTTTTTCTTAATACTCAGGGGTGTTTTTGTTTTTGTTTACTCTGAAACTAGTCTACAGACCTAGTGCTCATGTTGTCTTCTCACATGCAGGGTGAGCTTGGGCATACTCAGTGATGCTCTGTACCTGCAGGTGTATACAGTGGGGCCAGACTATGCCCATGCTGAAGCCAGAAAATCTCCAGCTTTGGATGGGAAGGTCGAACGAGACAGTGAAGGGAAAGAGATTCGATATCCAGTTATGCTGACCGCCATGGAAAAGCTGGTGGCCCGGAAAGTCTGCGTAGCTTTTAAGGTGGTGGAAGGCCCATAGGGGCAGGGGGTGCTTTGGAATGAGGGACAGAGATAGGGGTAGCGGTTTTCGAAGAAAGAGTAGCTCTCTTGTTCTCATCTTGCCTCTTTCCCCTGCAGCAAACGGTTTGTGGTTTTGACCTTCTTCGTGCCAATGGTCACTCCTTTGTGTGTGATGTCAATGGCTTCAGTTTTGTCAAGAATTCAATGAAATACTATGATGACTGTGCCAAGATTTTGGGGTAAGGGACACAAGTTCTGGGCTGGGGAGAAGAGAGTTAGAAAGCATTTACCTTATATTAAATATTATAAAAATGATTTAAAATTGAAAAAGGAAAATAGACAAAGGACTCCTCAGCTTTCTTGCCTTCCCAACCTGCACTCCCTGGAGGTAATTATTGTTAGCAGTTTTGGATATAACAGTATGTCTTTTTCTGCCATGTAGAAAGAAATTATATTTATTGTACTAAAAGTGACCATACACATAACACTGTTTTATAGCTTCACTTAAAAAAATCATGTAATACTTAAAATATTTAAAATATATAAGGAATGACAAATATGGGGAGTACCTATGTGTTCACTATCGAGGTTAAGAAATAAAATATTAAGAATATAGTTAAAGCCCCTATACACCCCTTCGCTAATTACATCCCCTTTGCTCCCACCAGAGGGAATAACAATCCTTAATTTGGTGTTTGTCATTCCCGTGCCTTTAGTAATATTTTTACTACATATATGGGGCTGCTGTTTTTTGCATGTGTTTAGACTTTGTATTATGTATTCTTGTACAACTTGCTAGTTTTCATGAGTTTCATTTATACATGTAGTTCCGGTTCATTCATTTTCACACAGCTTCTTCATATTTCTCCTTCTAGGAACACCATAATGCGGGAGCTTGCCCCACAGTTCCAGATCCCATGGTCTATCCCCACAGAGGCTGAGGACATCCCCATTGTCCCTACCACATCTGGAACCATGTAAGCAAAACTAAAAAATCTGAGTAACCTACTTAAGGCATGTAAGTCAGACCAGTGGTTACTTCCTGATCCTCTGCTGTCTGACTCCTGGAGCCTGGGTTTCTTCTAAGGCAATTACCTTAACCCTACCTGTATTCCTAATCTCAGAGTATTTCCTCTGTTCTTTGACGCATCGAGTAGGATGAAATGATGTGTGGTGGTATGGGCTGGGATGGGGGAGAGACTCTATCAAAATTCCCTATCTTAGGATGGAACTTCGTTGCGTCATTGCAATTATCCGTCATGGGGATCGTACCCCCAAGCAGAAGATGAAGATGGAGGTGACACACCCAAGGTAGGAGGAGTGTCCTAATTTAGACAAATAAATTTCTGTGAGGGGAACGGGAAGGAGCAGCAAACAGAGACTTTGACTATCTCACCCCAAACTGAAGCTTCTCCTTATTTCTTCAGGTTTTTTAGTCTATTTGAAAAACACAGTGGCTATAAGACAGGGAAGTTAAAGCTAAAGCGGCCTGAGCAGCTACAGGTAAAGTGTTGAATCTGGCTTGGGGGAGCCATGCTGTGGGAAATATAGAGGGTGTGGGGTTTGGGGGCCTCAATGAGAGGCCAGGATGAAAGGCTAACTGGCCAGGACTTCGCTTCCTCCATGGATTCTTTGTTAACTTCCCCAGGAGGTGCTGGACATCACAAGGCTGCTATTGGCTGAACTGGAGAAAGAACCAGGTGGTGAGATTGAGGAGAAGACTGGGAAACTAGAGCAGCTGAAATCTGTGCTGGAGATGTGAGAAAGGGGATAGGAGAAGGGAGCCAATAACAATGAAAGTTGGGTGCTGGGGTAGAAAGTAAACTGTGAGTTTATCCTGCAGGTATGGTCACTTCTCAGGCATCAACCGGAAGGTGCAGCTGACTTACTACCCTCATGGAGTAAAAGCTTCTAATGAAAGGCAAGGTAAGATATAGTACCCTATAACCTTCTTAGATCTCTTATTCTTGACCCCTTAGATGATCTCTACCCCAAATTACCTTTCTGGGCTCCTCAGAAGACCTAACATTTAGAAGTCTCCACTGCTTTCCTTAGATCTAGACCTACTCACTGCCTCTTACTCCCGCAGACCAACAGAGGGAGGCTCTGGCCCCATCTCTATTGCTGGTACTGAAATGGGGTGGAGAACTGACTCCCGCAGGCCGTGTTCAGGCTGAGGAGCTGGGGCGAGCTTTTCGCTGCATGTACCCTGGAGGACAGGGTAAGTGTTGGGGGTAAATACCTAGCAGGGCTGGGATAAGATGGTTAGAGAATAAACTGGGGAAATGAAGAGCAGAGGCAGTGGAGAAGTGAAAGGGGAAATGAGCATTCTTTCCTCCATGTAGGTATTTATAGCAGTCCCTTCCCAATTCCCCCTTTTCTCCCAGGTGACTATGCTGGCTTCCCTGGTTGTGGGCTGCTTCGTCTCCATAGCACTTTCCGCCATGATCTCAAAATCTATGCCTCTGATGAGGGCCGTGTCCAGATGACCGCTGCTGCCTTTGCCAAGGTGCACACAACAGTTCTCCCACAGTCCCAGCTTCCAGTAGGAAGAGAAGCAGAGAGTTTGGAGAATGAGTTGGGAAATTTCAGGGTATTTATGTACCAATTTAGAGAAGTTTCCACTTGTGTCTGTCCCCATTCTGTAGTATTGAAAATGAGCTGAGAATAATTAGTTGGGGATAGACCCTGTGACCTGTACCCCAGCTCTCCAAGCCAGCTCTCATTTGATCCTTAGGGCCATCTAGGCCCAGGGGGATTAGACTGGAAGGAAAACTAATAGACTTGTGCTTTCCCTCCAGGGCCTTCTGGCTCTAGAAGGGGAACTGACACCCATTTTGGTACAAATGGTGAAGAGTGCCAACATGAATGGGCTCCTGGACAGCGATGGTGATTCCTTGAGCAGCTGCCAGCACCGGGTAAAGGCTCGGCTGCACCATATTTTGCAGCAGGATACATCCTTTGGCCCTAAGGATTATGATCAGGTCAGGTTCTCCCTATCTTTGTGCTCAACATACCTCTGATTGCAAATTCCTAGAATTCTAAGTAGTAGTGATCAATAATAGTAATTACTGTAGGCCAGGCACTTTTTTATGTTGTTTGCATACATTATCTCACTTAATCCTCGCCATTTGAGAGATATATGGGTCTAAAATCTCTTACTCACAATATCAAAATAAAAAATATTTTTATAAGTTTGGCACCAAGATTCATTTGGTAGTAAAACCTGACATGATAAGACTATATCTAATCCCTGTTTATCCCATTCAGTGTAAATGTCATTCATTTTAGAAATACTAGTATGTTTGGTTATGTCCTAGGCCCTCCTGGAGGTAGTATAGAACATATGGCATATGCACTGTGTTAACTTCCTAAAGTCCAAAAAAGTCTCAGCTTTACAGCACAGATGGTCCCAAGGATTTTGAATGATTTTAGTTATCCAGTGCTTTGTAAAAACTACCCCCAAAACTCAGTAACTTGAAACATAACCACTTTATTATCTTACAGTTCTAGGCTCAACTGTTCTTCCTTGGAATCATTCCTAAGATTGCTCAGATATCCAGATGTTGGGGCTGGAACCATGTGGAGCCTTGACTGGGATGCTGGGTGGCTGGGATTTCTTCTTCATGCTCTTCCTATTGTCTCAAAGCCTCTCCTTTCCACATTCTTCTCCATGTGCTTTCTCCAGCATGGTAGCTGGACTTCTTATAAACAGTAGCTTAGAATCCCCCCAAACAGAAAATCCAAGCTTTTTTAAAGTATAGGTCCAGAATCACACAGTATAACTTTGTTATAGTTTATTGTTTAGGCAGTCACAGGTAGGCCCAGATTCAAGGGAAGGGAAAGGTAACGAAGAATTACTGAACATCTTTAACCCACCATAAGAACTGTGAACCTGTACTACTTTCCCCCCATTTTACAGATGAGGAGACCTAGGTTCAGAAGTATTTAAACAACCTTTTCAAAGTCATCCAGCTAGTATGAAGCTAAGGAGTCTAAATTGAGAGCCCAGGCTATTAGCTACTACAGTATGCCTCACAGTATAATCACAGTAGATCATATGCCAGACAATGATTTTCCACCATCCTACCACTGATAGCTCCTCATTTCTGACAGGTTCATTTTTTTAAATTACTTTTTTAAGTTGTAGTACTACTTTAACCACCTTTAAGTGTACAGTTCAGTGGCATTAAGTACATTCACACTGTTGTGTAACCAGCCATTTCTGATAGGTTCTAAGTGAGCTAAGTAGCTGAGCACACTGCTTAGAGAATGGCATTTTCTGTGTTCTATGAGTACAACACACGAGTCTTAATAAGGGCAGGACCTTTTTCCCTTCTTTTTTTTTCCTTTTTTCTTTTTCCCCTTATTTTTTAATCCACTGCTCAATGTCAAATCCAAAAAGGCTGAGGCATCTTTGCTTCCTCCCTTGCTTCCTTTCAGTTGCAAGAATTGAACTTGCCCTCACAAGGCTCAGCTATAATATGTGCATTCCACCCACAGTAGAAGTGTAATCTACTTCTGAGGCAGCACCTCTACTCCAGGTTCAAGCTGACGTCTTGTTTAGAGGAAAAAGATAATATTATCTCTATGACCCACTCATGAAAATATCCTGTGGGGATTTTGATTTAATCTTTATTCCCGAGCATTTTCCATGTATCTTTTAGAACCCCCAAGAAAACAACTAAGTCTAATTTATTTTCTTGCAACTCTAAGACTTTTAAGATAAACCCTTCTTAGATGACTCATTTGAAAGCCCTGGAACTGGTAGTTTGCCCAGTAGCCTAGGAATGCTCCCTGGAGCGAGCTGAGAAACAGACCTCATTTGCAGGCAGTCTTTGGAATAAGCTTACAGGAATCTTGGCAGTTGACACTGAGCTTATATTGCTTTTCTTCTCTCTCTTCCCCACAGCTGGCCCCCACTGGAAGTACTTCCCTACTCAACTCCATGGCTATTATCCAAAATCCTGTGCAGGTCTGTGATCAGGTATTTTCCCTGATTGAAAACCTCACTCAACAGATCCAGGAACGGATGCAGGACCCCAAGTCTGCAGGTGGGTATGAATACTACTATCTTCCCTTCAAGGTTTCAGGTATGGATGGGCTCCTGAGGCACTCCTGTGTCTTCTCCTAAATGTCTGAGACAAAACATCTTCATCTCTCTGGTTCTACTTCAGATTTGTTAGCATCTTCTGTTAAAGGTAGAATTTTTGGCTTTGTTTGATTGCCCATCTTCCCTCTAGACCTGCAACTCTACCACAGTGAGACACTAGAGCTAATGCTACAGCGTTGGAGCAAGCTGGAGCGTGACTTTCGACAGAAGAGTGGGCGCTATGATATCAGTAAGATCCCTGACATCTATGACTGTGTCAAGTATGATGTGCAGCACAATGGGAGTCTGGGACTTCAAGGCACAGCAGAGTTGCTACATCTCTCTAAGGCACTGGCTGATGTTGTCATTCCCCAGGTGTGTCTCATATAAGGGATCTAGCCTGGGGACAGGGGCATTGGGGAAGGAAGGAGAGAAAGGGCAGAAAGGAGGGAACCCTGGGAAAGAAACCTAGAGAAGGAATTAGTTGAGTTGCTGCAATTCTCAGTGTCCATCCTGGCTCTGAGTAAGTACAGGAGGCTAAGTGAGGAGAAACCTGGAGAGGGGGAATGTGGTAGATATGAAAGATATGAAAGAGACAGACAAAGCATGAGTTAAAGATAAACATGATCTTGGGCCTGGGAGTATGAGGCAAGAGGAAAAGAAGATTCACTGAGGTACTTATTCCTGGCCTATGGCCCCTAGGAGTATGGGATCAGTCGGGAGGAGAAACTGGAGATTGCAGTGGGCTTCTGTCTTCCACTGTTGCGGAAGATACTACTTGACCTTCAGAGAACCCACGAGGATGAGTCTGTCAACAAGCTGCATCCCCTGTGAGGGAGGGCTGGGAGGGGTGCTGGATGGAGGGAGGGGCATGTCCGGGAGCCCTGGGGGAATCCAGGCTGGGACAGCTTGGGGAACTGAGAATAAAAGGGATCCTGGGATGGAGAGGAGAGGTCTTTGAGGTGGGAGGAGGAAGTTTGTGGAGGGGTGGGAAGAGGATTATCTCACAGTGTGCGTGACTTAGCTGTCATCTCAGGTATTCCCGAGGAGTGCTCTCACCAGGCCGCCATGTTCGCACACGTCTCTATTTCACCAGTGAAAGCCACGTCCACTCCCTACTCAGTGTCTTCCGTTATGGGGGACTTCTTGATGTAAGGATCCTTCTTCCTTCAGCCTGTGAACGTCTTTTCCCAGCATTCTTTTACTCTCTTCCTCAAGTTTCTTTTTTACTGTAACCTTTCTCTATTCTCCTTGTCTCCCTGTCCATGGCTCCCTGTCCTTGGGCATCGGCTTACCTCTTCTTGTGTTCTTTAGGAGACCCAGGATAAACAATGGCAACGGGCCTTGGCTTATCTTAGCGCCATCTCAGAGCTCAACTACATGACCCAGATTGTCATCATGCTTTATGAGGACAACACACGGGTGAGGATCTAACAGAGTGGGATGAGGAGAGGACCCCTTCTTTCTCCTCCATTCCACTTTAGGAAAACACTTTCTTATTCTTAGAATGTGTAGACTCCACCTAGGTGTGGCAACTAGGCACAGCATGACACACAGCACCCAGGAGGTTCCCACTGAACAGAAAAACTTGGTGTGTGCCAGAGAGATATCATAGAATATAGCTCTGGCATTAGGGAGGACAGGGAATTTGGGATGATGTTATAATGAGTTACCCTCTCAATATTGTTACACATGTACCTTTTTCATCTGGCTACACAAAGATATCTTTAAGTGTGCTGCTGTATACACTGTAGCAAAGCTGAATTATTGGATGGAGAGGGTTGTAGGACTGAAGTTGGAAAGTCATGTACAGTTGTGAATCTCTCATGATGGAGGCAAGTGAATGAGGGTCCTGTAACACTAGACTATAGTTAAGGGGAAGCTATAATAGATCAGCCCCAGAGTTGGGTAAGATACTGAAATGTCAGCTGTGGGGGGATATATCTTCTTGAGTTTCTTTCTGTTGTTCCTGTCTGGTCTTCCACCATCATATCAGCTTCTCCATTCCTGCCCCTTAATCTGGGGTTGCCCCATAGGACACCTTGTCAGAGGAGCGGTTCCATGTAGAGCTGCACTTCAGCCCTGGAGTGAAAGGTGTTGAGGAAGAAGGCAGTGCCCCAACTGGCTGTGGATTCCGTCCAGCCTCTTCTGAGGTGGGTCAGAGTGCTGGGATCTTGGACTGGATGATTTAGGAACAAAGTGGTGAGAAACTTAGAAATAGTACAGGGAGGTAAAAGAACGGGAGGTCTGGGATTAGGAGATGGAAGGCCATTCACACCTCTCCTATCTGTGCTTGTTGTTGGATAGAATGAAGAGCTGAAAACAGACCAAGGCAGTATGGAGAACCTTTGCCCAGGGAAGGCATCAGATGAACCGGACCGGGCACTGCAGAGTTCACCCCAGCCTACTGAGGGGCCTGGCCTCCCAAGGAGATCACCCCTCATTCGTAACCGAAAAGCTGGCTCCATGGAGGTAATGAGAGGGGCTTAGGAGAAAGAAGTGGTAGAAGTGCTCATAAGACTATCCATGAATCCTCTGAATTCCCTTGGGGGTACTCTTGGGACCTTAAGCAGAGTCCTCCTGCCCTGTGGGATATGTTTTATTTTTTACTTAATCTTTCTTTCACAGCTGATCTCCCAATAAAGCTCATTTAAACCTGTTGCTAGTTGAGATTAAAGAGATGCCATTGAGAGGTGCTTCAGAGAGAAGCATTTTAAGAGGTGAGATTGAGGAGGATGCCTCTGGACGAATTTGAAAAAGCAGTTCTTTAAAAGGAAATACAGTAGAAACAGTATGAACTCTGGGCTAAAATCCCAATCTGATACTTAGAAGCTGTGTGACCTTGGACTGGTAACTTCTCCAAGCCTCAGTATTTTTCATCTGTAAAATACAAGTAATATTCACCCTATAGATGCTCAGTAAACAGTAACTATAATAACAATACAATTGATATTTTAAAGGCCAGGCCCTCTCCATCTCTTTATTGCCTTGAGTAAAAAATTACAACTCAGACAAGAGAAAATACAAGGCACTTTAATTTAATCCCTTTAGGGTTGGTTAACTCTATGCTCATTCCAGAAAGGGAATCAGTTCTGGAGGTCTGTCTGTCTTCCCTTTGTTCTGATAAGGTTTATTGGCCTGGGCCTATGTTCTGCTATTCTTGGAGTTTGTCTCTAGTCCTTGTTCTAGTTCTCTAGCATAGAGGAAGGAACTGATGGAAGTCTCACATTTTACCCAGCTAACTGTCCTGGGTTTTTTGTTTTGGACTTTTTTCCTGGAAAGATTCTTTTACTCTGTGGCCCAGGGCCACTTCTTCTGACTCCCTGATTCATCCCTGTGTTAGGTCTTGCTTTGACAGATGACTGTGTTCACTTGACTTTTTGCCAGATCTCTGTCTTAAACTCATCTTTCCAATTTAAGACTATCTCAGACAAATGTATAACTAGGTTACATAGGTTCAGCCAGAGGTTTATAGTACATATTTTGGAAAAATCTGAGAAGAAAAACTGCAGTCTCCATTCTGGATTCATCCTTTTCTTCCTAATTATTTTAAGGTGGATTTGAAATTGTGAATGCTGAATTTCTTTAGGTGGGGAATGCATCATTTTCTCTTTGTGATCTAAGTTAATTTGGTATTCATAGTACACTCGTGCCCTGTAAACTCATGTGAATATATCAAATGGACTGATGACATCTAATCTTCCATCAGTAAACTACTTCTCCACATCTAAATGTCTTCCTCATTCATATGGTCTGCCAGTCCCTCTGGCACTGTTGTGCTTGACCCCCTTTTTTCCTTCTGATTTAAGCAGTCAAGAGACAGGCAAAGCAGAGCTCTCTGTGAATCATTTCTATGACCTGATGAGATTCACTTTTTTCTTTCAGGCATACAGAAAGCTTCCTGTTGTAATTCCTTCCTTTCAGTTACTGGTGCTGCTTATACCATAGCCCATCCAGGAGAATGGTTGCCCAAGATATTTGTTCCTGTTGTTCACAAGAAAATCTCTCTGCTTTCTGGTTACACAAGCTTTTAATGTTAAAGTTTCCTCTCCTTGTTCTGTAACATAGGCATTGGTAGTCTTATCCTTATCAAGTCCTATCCTTTCTTCTCCTCCTGTCATATCATATTTTTGGGCAGTTTTAGAATACAAAATCTGTGCCCTTCATACCAGCTGTACCCTAGGCAGTCATCCTCTCCAGCTGTATAACCAGCTCTGCCCAATGGACACTGGGGCTTTGGGGAACCTGGGGGTTAAAGAAGCCATGACCGGCTTTCCACCCGGTCTGATTGCAGGTCATGAACATGCAGTGCACGGGGAACCTGGACCTGATCCCCTTGCAGGGATGGCGCCGCCGGAGGTCAGGAGACCTCCCCCGGCCTTCCCCAGCCATCGATCTTCAGCCCCAGGCTGTATCCACAACTCACTTGGCATCGTGCACACAGGTGTCCCTCCCTACCTCGCCTACCTTTTCTGCCTCTATCTTTACCTTTTGGGACCTAAGGACTCAGAACACTGTCTTGGGGGAACAGGGCAGAGTATGTTGGGGGTTGTGTGATTGGGCCCTAGTAAGCTTTTTAGATATCAGTTTCATGTCTCCAAAGTAGAAGGGAGGGCTTCTCGGTTCAGATAAGAAACTGAGTATGGTTACTCTAGCTATGATTACAGTTACCTGTTGCATGGCCAGACTTCATTTCTTATTGTGATTGGCTTTCTGAGTCTTGTGGAGGGATAGATAAGATTAAGGGAGCTGCTCTGCTGAGAACTGAGAATGGTTGAAAATAAAGATTTGTCAGATTTGAGACAGGAGGGCTATGGGGACAGGCATCTTGGAAATATAAGTGCCTTCTAGTGTAGAAGGATTCCCGGGACAGTTCCCTGTGCAAAGTACATTCTGTGTTCCCTTTTCATTCTTCTTTCCCCATAAAAATCCTTTGGTTCTTCCAAACTTTCTGACATTGCCCGGCTTTGTAGGGGCAGGAATTCAGGACCTGGGTTTCGACATCTCACTTGAGGTGGCAAATGGTAATATAGAGTCCTTTTTCTCCAGGTGCTTTCTGAGACTTCATCCTCCAGGCCTGGTGGCTACCGGCTCTTCTCATCTTCACGGCCACCGACGGAGATGAAGCAGAGTGGCCTAGGTATGGTTTCCCAGTGTCTCTCACCTGTTGTTGGGAAGGGTATCTGTCTGTTCTTCAGAGTCTACTGTGGGAAAGCTTAGTCATGGGAATTGGGGTCATCCAGTGAATGGAATTGTTGGGTGGGGCTAGGGAGGATGAATTGGCAGAGCCATATTTAGGTCTGAATTTTGATCCCAGATGATTGTTTCCATTCCAGGAAGGTGTTTGTCTTTTGTTTTTCTACACCAGTCCCTATCTCTCTGGCTGATGGGCAATTTTGTGGCTTCCCCTTTCATTCTTTATCTGTCCCCCCAATCTAGCTGCACCTTAAGGGGCCATGGAGACTCTGAACCTTCAAAGTTATCAGAGACAGAGCTATAAATAGAGGTACTTGTGACGCCTGTAAGTGTCACATTCCTCACTTGGAGAACGTAGGCCATGTCTTCCTCAGAGACCCATGTTTATTATGTCCCTGCTTTGGTCCCTCCTACCTCCATGCCCTCTCCATCATCCTCTCCTAATCCTGTAATTTTTTTTTCCCTTCCTTCCTGAAAATTGAGGGACAAATCTGAGACTGGTGTAGTGGCAGAGGCTTCTCTCAGGACTTTGAGGGAAAGTCTCTTGATTTTTTTGATTCCTGGAGAGGGGTGGAGAACATCATTCAACCTTTCCTAAGAACACAGACTGCAGGAAGGACCAAGCCTCAGAGGGTATTGTATTCTTTGGGAGTGGGGAGTGGTCCTTGGGAGGGTCTTGTGAGCCAGTAACTAGAATTGGCGGCTAGAGACAATTGTGTGGGGTCTGGACTTGCTCCCCTGGCTCTACTATCCTGTCCTATTATTTTTTTCATTTAGCTCCTTTCATTTTTCTGTTACCTTTGTCCTTGGCATCTAATTTCTTGGCCCCCAAATGGTCAGCATTTGGACCAGCAAGGGAGAGAAAGGTTTTGGTGACTTTCCAGGCTCATTTTATAGGAGTGGGCTGCCTTCTGGATCCCTGAAATGAGTAGATGGTTTGGGGCATGAAAAATAAGTGACAAATGGATAGATCTGATATATGGACTTCTCTTTCCAGAAGTTCCAGTAAAGAATAGGCTTTAGGTAGGCCAGAAAAGAGGATAGGTGTGTCTGGCCTAGTTAATTGGCAGTGCTGTCAGGAACAAGGCAGAAGCATGGACATGGGACTGCTTGACAGATGGTGGTGGTAAGGTAGAGACTACCTTCTGAGATGATTCAAGGACTGGGCAGGGCAGGATTGGCAGGACTGTACCAGAAAACTATTTAGTGGAGGAAATAAATGTAGAACAAAGCTTGGGGTGGTCTGGGATGGAGCCAGCTGGTTTCAGCTTCTCTGAAGAAGAGCAGACATATTTAGCAATCCTTATTACTCTTGGAACCCATTGTAGAATCTGAGCATGAAAGGTAGGAGAGGTTATGCATAGAGGAGCAGTCCTGAATTCCCAGATGGAGATTATCAGCCCTTTGAGCTTCTTAATTTCTCTCGTGACCCTGAAATTCTGGGACCCCAAAAACCCTTCCTTGTGGGCTTAAAGGAAACTGACCTCTCCTCTCTACTCTGTCTATCTGCCCTGTGAATGTTAAGTTCCCAAGCCAACCCAGGGTCTCAGCTAAGATGCATTTAGAAATAGAGGGACAAATCCCACAAACTTGGGTGATAATCTTGTCTCTTCCTGCCCATTCTGTTCTTGTGGGCTATAGTAGGAGAGGGGCCATGGAGTCAAAACCCTACTCTTAATCAGATATTTGAGGCAGTACTTGGCTTGATTTATTTCCTTAAGAGATTTTTATAATTTTATTTACTCCTCTGATTGGCAATAGAGCTTCTTCTTTGAACCTGTATATGTGGGCATCTGGCTTTGAGCATAGGGCATACAAGACAAATTTTTGAGAGCAGACAAAAATATATCTTTTTTGTTGCTTCCTGCTTACCAGGTCCTCTTTCTTGGTGGGGTGCTTAGCATATAGTAGGCATGCTCTGCATATAATCATCTGACTTTTCACATGCTTTTCAATTTGTGTCCATCTTCACTTCAGAAACAATGGACTATTTCTTCTTGATGAAAAGATAATTATGTTTTTTCTAACTGAACACAGTTGATCCTTGGAGTCAAGAGCCCTGGATTCTAGTCCAGGTTAGCTCCTAACCAATTATATGTCTTTGAGCAAATGAGATCCTATTTTAATCTCTGTTTCTTCATCTCTGAAATAAGAAGGTTGAACTTTATGATTTTTGAGTCTCTTCCAGCTTTAACCATTCAGGGGTCTCATACTTTCTCTCTTGGGAAAGGTAAGAAGGACTAAAGGGATGTAGAAAGGGTGAATGGTGGATGAAGAATTTAGGAGGAATTAGAACTTACGAGAACTTGGAATTTGAGCTGAGGGCTCAAGTCTTAGTCTGTAGTTTCAAAGTTCTTTCCTTCTAAGTCTTAAGGTCCTAGATTTCTGGGTTCCTTAAACCCTATATCCAGGGTAAGAGGCACTGAATTAAATCTAGGGAGATTTAGAGGGGTCTATATAGAGAGATCTTCCTATTCTTTTAGCTTTCCTGAGAGCCACCTGGAAAACACAGTCTATCTCTTTGAGTAGCTTTGAGTCCCCTAATATGACTAATCCTATATTTGTTTTGGCCTCTTATCTGCCATGTAGTTCTTCAAGAGAACTCCCACTTGGCTTGCCCAGTGTGACTATGGACAGTAGTGAAAGCTGCTTGTGGTTATATCCTGTAGCCACATCATGGTGGCTCTGAATGGCTATGTGTGTATATCTTGATGTTGTCATGTGAAGTTCGTACTTCTGTGTGATAATTGCAGCTTTGCGTGGCTACTAATGCACTCCCGGCCTTGCAGGCTCACAGTGTACAGGGCTGTTCAGCACCACAGTGCTGGGTGGCTCCTCCAGCGCCCCGAACCTTCAGGACTACGCCCGCAGCCATGGCAAAAAGCTACCACCTGCCAGTCTGAAGCACCGAGATGGTATGTGGGTGGGTTTTGGGGGGCAACTCTTCTTTATTTGTCCCCCAGCAAGGACACAGCTCAAGAACTATTCAAGCTTAGGATGGCACTAACACTGGTCTTATAACAAGTTTTCTTCATTATTTACAGAGGGGAGAAGGATCCAAGACCCCATCCACCCCTCCATTTGCATTCCCTCTTGCCATACAAATACTACTTATTTATGCTTATCCCTTCATAATCTCCCACATACAGCCCTGCTACATCAGTTTACTCCACCTTTGTATTCTTTCCTGGATTCTGTAGGGGTAAAGACCAAGGAGGATTATCCATGATCAGGAAGAATCTCTTTTAATCAGGCAGTGGAGCCTTGATTAAAATCTAGGATATCAGGATTGGGGAATTTGCTCAGCCCCAGCAGGAAAGATGATATGGAAAGAGACTGGGGGAAGGGATGAAAGTTTCTACAAAGATTTTATTTCCAAATGACCAGAAAGACGATGTGGTAGTGAAATCAGGGCTGTCTGTGGGCCTGTATCATATTATGGCAGGGATGACACATGGATTCCTAAAAGGAAATTATATGAAAGGAAAAGATTGAAATGTGATAATTAGGAATCTAAGGGGTGGGGTAGCAGGTCACATGCTAACTATAAAGAACAGAGTATATTGTGGGCAAACTCCAGAACAGAGGGTGGGGACAGGGGTGGGTATAATCCCCATGATGTCTTTTCTCCCCAGAGCTCTTGTTTGTCCCGGCCGTAAAACGATTTTCTGTGTCATTTGCAAAGCATCCGACTAACGGTACGTTTGCTTCTGACTCGATGTCATTCCTCCTCACCATGTCACCTCCAGGCACTTAACCTCTGAGTTCTGACACTGACTTTGCCTTTCCTTCCACTGTGTTGACACCCTGCTGTCTCTGAATGAACCACTCACTAAGTGTCCCTTTTGGGACATACCCCTTTTGACAAACCTTAGCCTTGGCTGCAGCCTGGCTGTCTTATCCCTGTGGCAACCCAGGGTCTTACTTCCATGGTCACCATCATCACTATTGTGTCACTTTTTCAGCATCATCACTAAAACATTGATTAAACCTCTCCCGTTCCCATCACATGACTTTGTATAAACATAATGGTTCCCTGTTTTAGGAAGAGAATACTATTTCTGGTATCATCCCCATTTCTTCTCTCTTCATTTTTTTCCCCTCACTCCTCAGCTTATACAATTTTGACCTTACTGTTTTTTCTCCAACTCTTTTGTTGGAGTGTATGACTCATTTGTTTCTCTTTTGGAATGTGCTGCAGTTCCCAGTTCCCAAGCCTACCCATAAGGGCACTGGTCTTGAGTGTTTAGTGTCCCATCTTCATATTCTTATCTCCTCCCATTGTGTGTATTTTGTGTGACTCTTGTGCTCCTGACATCTGCTTTATGTTACTACTAACCTAGGGCCTGAGCCTAGAAAATAGGAGCCCAGACTGATTTGGGATAAAAGAGAGAAAGGAAGGAGTAGGAGGTAGTAGGTAAAGGAAAAGGGTTTTTTCCGTTTTTGCATGTGGATTCCATGTAGACCCAGCCTACTGCTGTCTCAGAGAGGCTTGAAGTAAAGAGTAGAGATGTCTACCGGGGGTTCTGGGGGAGCTTAGGGATGAGCAATATTTCAAGAATAATGAAGAATAGGGTCTCCCACACTCAGGTGGGAGAGTTTAGAGATCTATGTAAACCAAAAACTGAAGGTATGTGGTCTCTTTGTGGGGTATGACAGGGGAGCCCACAGCTTACTCCTTGTGTTATCCTTTACATCCTTAGTTTCTCTCTGCATTATGTCTTGTCTTCAAGGTAAATCCAGTTTTTTTATGGCTTTCTTCTGTCTAAGAGCTAAGTCTCTCCTAGGGGGTAAAATTAGCCTAGCTTTCTGGCTGAAAAAACCTCCAAGTACTGATCCCCTGCTCCTTAGCCAGGGACAGCTGCCGGACTTTATTTTGGCCCAGTCAGGCCATACATCTCCTCCAGGCACTGCTAAAATCTCCCTAGGTTGATGAGCCTGTACTTGATCAGGTTATAACCCCATCCCAACCTCAGATCCCATATATGTCTAGCAGGAGCTCCCCATTCAGAGTGGCATGGCTGTGCCTACACATTTAGCTTCAAGCTCTTCTGGCCTTTATGTGCTGGAGTAGAACCTCGTGCACTAACCCCAACCCTACAGCCTGGGACTTGGACTTAGGTGACATGTTACTTAGGGCACAGAATATAGTATCTGGAACTTGGGCTCCTGAAATTAGAGCTAAGTAATAGTTCTAGCCTAAAACTAATCCTAGTTCTTAGGCTCTGTGAAAAGAGATATAAATTCATAAAACAGGTCCTGAAACCTATACATCTCTAGTTCCCTGAAGCCTTGGTTAGCAGCCTCACCAGTTGAAGAAAAGAAGAATTAATTCTACCAAAAGGAGGAGAGGAAGAAAAACCTGGACAATTCAGGTATAGTGCAGGAGAACAAACTCAAAGATCTCCAACACCCTGCACACTTCTTCAGGGGTCTTCTGGCTTTTGTTCTTATACTTGAGCTTGGAGGCTAAAGTGCTTGAGAAACCAGAATCTGGGATCTACCTTTTGGCAGCAGGAGAAATTTGGAGCTATTATGTCTCTTGCTGAAGATGATCTAGATTTAATCTGGCCCTTAGGACAATATGAGGACTACCTCATGGCCAGATCTTGCTTGACTAACCCAGCAATTATAGAGTAAATTCTGTCTCTGCAATTGCTGTGGCAGATCAGTCACAGCAGTATGCCAACCTACTGTCCTGCCCTCACTATCTCCTTGCCATGATGTCTTCCTTTGAAAAAGTAGCTGGAAAAATTGAACTTGGATTTGGAAAGGAGGCAAGGCAATGCTGTCTCCTTGCTTTGATGGGAGGACATCAGAGCTTATCCCTGCTTCTATTCCTGATAAGCTTCTGTCACACCCTGTGACTGCATCAAGTGTATAAATATGTCTTATTACTAGACTGTACACTGAACTCACCAAAGTAAACTAATACAGTGGGAAGAGACTGTGGCTCAACCTCATCCAGAATGTCAGAGTGTGCCCACTGGATTTACCAGCCCATTATCCTCTAGGGACCTACACACTGTGGCCACTGGTAAAGTTGAAACCTCTCTTAACATCCAAACTAGGGTCTCTGGAAACCATAGTGTCATGGGACTCACCCTGTGGAACCAGCTCTGTTCCTTGAGTCCTGAGCAGTCATCCTCAGCTACCTTGACCCTACCTTCTTTATGCCAACATCCTGTCAGCAGGTCTTAAGACCCCGTACCTTTTCCACAATCTCTTTTTCCTACTATTTCTCTTTCACTCCCTTCCACATGACTTTCACTGTCTTCAACCTTTCGTGAATTGCATATATTCACAGTTTGCCAAGCAGCTAAAACAATAAGTGGTTCAGGATCAAAGCTTTTCTACTCATCAGCAGAACAAAGTACAGTTAGGCTCACTAGCAGTGGAAAGAAAATATAAAATTATCTAACTGATGGCTTCTGTAATGGATACTGTGTCCCCTAAGTCCTGAGATTTATGCAAACATTTAAAAAATATGTATATTTGAACAAGAGTAAAAGATGTAGTCAATACTGACATTTTTACATATTCCATTTTTTACATACTCTGTTTTAAAGGATTCCTACATCTGATTTTCTATCAGTCTCCTCTGCCAGCTGCCTAACACCACTCCTGTCTTCGGCTATCTTAAGAGTCTAGTCCAGGGGGCCTGACCTGAGCCTTTAGATGCTTTTTTAGCTTCAAACTTGATCTTGATACCTTATACCATTCTTGACCCTCTTCTGTAATTGACTCTAAATTTTTTTTTATCTATCACAACATCATAAATGTATTTGTCTGAGAAGCAGCCCCTAACTAGAGTTTGTCCAAGAACAGTCAGGGACACTGGAGCTCTAATCAAGGCTCCCAGCAACAGAACTGACAGCTTACCCCAGCCCAGAATGATGTGACTGCTGTTGGCAAGCAATGACTGACTTAAGCTCTGCAAGAAAGGAGGGCCTTGTTGGATGATGGGGTCTTACTTGCCCCTTCTTCTAGACTCACTGTGTGATGCCAGCACTCTTCTTCCTTGCAAGAGATGCCCAGTGGCTCTGACCATCTCTGCTTCTCTTAGCTCACCTTGGAGCTGAGTGGTCCCCACCTCCCAGTAATACTTGTGCCAGTCAGTGCCCCCCTCATTATCTCTCCCTCTTCTCTTTATCTTTGTGCTTCCTGCCGTGGCTCCCCCACCCCCTCCAGAGCTGCTGGATGACCAGCACCCTGTGGTCCGGTTGCTGCGCAGTTTTTCCTCTGACTGCCCAGGGGGCCGGCCAGTCTCCTTGGATGCCACGCTGGCGCATCACCTGCACCAGTGCTCCTACCACCTGCGCCTCTTCCGGAACTGGCTGCGCTCAGGCCAGGATGACCCCGAGTGCCTCTACGGTACCCCTGCCACCAAGCTGACTGCTACCACTACCCTGGCTGGGACTGACTGCTTTGCTTATTGCATTTCTAGCAGGAGAGCCCACCTATTCCTTTCTCCTTACCTGAAAGTTATGTGACTTGAATTTAGTTGCTTGGATGGATTGGAGCCAGATTGCCTGGTAGCTGTAGCATTGGCTGCTCATTCCCTTCCTATTCTCCTCCCTCACTGCCTCCTAATGTTATTCATTCCCAGTTCTGTTCAGCATAGGAGTAGTCTCTTGCCCTAGAATCTGTTCTTGTCTCCATAACGCTCTGCTACCACAATCTTCAAATACAAGTATTTTTCTAGCCACTCTGAGGGACTAGAGATTATACCTCTCTTGCCTTTCTGCCACAAGAGTATAGGGAGAAGTTGAGGCACAGAGGTCTCAGCTGAATCCTTGAGTCAAACAAGGGCCAGAGGTTAAAAGATGGTCAGGTACAACCTTTTTGAGTTAGAGATTTGGTTTTTAGTGAACAGGAGGCTATGTCTTGCAGAGATATTGCTGTCCTGCATACCCCTCTTATTCCCTTTAAGGAGATGTAAAGGAAGCACAGACACATTTGAGGACTTAAGAAAGCAGTTGGGATGTATGCTTCTTGATCTTCCAACAGGGAATTTTTTTTTTTTCAATTAACAGGCCCTGGAATTAGGGTTACACAATTAGGTTTACCCTTTACCCCACTCAGACTTGTGGACTTACATTGGAATTGTTGGGTTCAGAGCAGAGAATCAGTATTTATTTTCTTCTAGGAGGTTTGCCTCATTTTCATTATGGAATAGAGAAATCCTAGCACATGTGGGGGCTCCCAGTAGAGCAGAAGGGAAAAACTTTGATGTGATGGAAATGACCAAGAAAGAACTTCCATCCCCTAGCCCATTCATGCATGTGGTTTTCCTGGGCTGAGCTTCATGTGTATTGCGTGCACTGCAGCTTGCTTCCAAATATTCTAGGCTGTCTATCCAGATCCTAAATCTGCATGAACCCCTCCTCAGATTCCATGCCCTGCTCCTTAACTGGTTCTCTTTTACATGATCCCTGAAGTCTGCTGTTTCTTACCATTTCCATGACCTCCCTACCTCATTTAGACCTACAATTTCACCCCTTACCTCTGAACCTTTTATTCTCCCAGAAAGCACAAGAACAATGTAGGTGCTTACCCTATTGGGATTCTATTGATTTTTCCATGGGATATTACAGGCACTCCATAGGTAGGATGAGAAGTGATTTGGTTCACCTGGAGGTCTTAGCTTGTAGACTTTTGAGGAAATCTGGAGGTGAGAGAAACAGGCTCCTGTAGGGGCTCTAAAGAGTACCCTCTCCTGAGAATCTTGGATACCCCACACTCCAAAAGCCTCGGACTCTCCTGATGGCTATGGCTCTCAGGGACTCTCCATATTTCCTTGGTCAGTTGGGGTATATCTGGCAATAACTTTGACTTTGCCCATCTCTTTTCTAACAGGATTTGAAGGGTGCTCCATGGTGCCTACCATCTACCCCCTGGAAACACTGCATAATGCCCTTTCTTTGCGTCAAGTGAGTGAATTCCTGAGTAGAGTTTGCCAGCGTCACACTGATGCCCAAGCACATGCATCTGCAGGTATGGAAAATACTCTTATGTTGTACCCCTATCTCTGCTCCCATTCCTGTGCTTCCTAGAACATGAGTAATACATTAAAAGATAGGCATCCAAAAAGACACAAAAGTACCCTTAAAAAAATTATTGAATTGCATAAGCCAACTCAATATCATAGAAAATATCACTCCTTCCAAAGTTAGTTCATAAATCTAATATGATCCCAATAAAAATTCTGCTGCTTTTCTAAGATTAGACAAATCAATTCTCAAGTTCTAATTGAAAAATAAACAAGCAAGAATAGCCAAGAAAGCCTCCAAAAGAATAATGAAAGGGGTACTAGCCCTATCAGATTTTAAAACATCATACAAAACTTCTATAATAAAAACAATATCCAATTGGTATATGAATAGACTAATCAAACAGGATAGAAAATCTAGAAATAGATAAAGTTAGCATTTCAAAATACTGGGGGAAAGATAGACTTTTTAATAAATGCAGTTGCCACAACTGAATAATCATTTGATAAAAATTAAAATTGAATCCATACTTTATGCTATACTAGATTAAGCTCCATATGAATCAGAAGTCTAAATGCAAATATTAAGCAGTAGGTAGCTCCAAGGGTTTGTCCTTCCATAGAAATACTGAAAAATCAAGCAAAATGGTCAGAATCTACTTTGTCAGAACTCTGGGAACCAGTCAAAGGTTTGTAGTAACCAAGAAAAAGCTCAATCAAGGAAGAGGCAACCTAAAACTGTCAGGGAGCTTTCTAGCATTTTACTTGCTCTTGTTTTACCCCCTCCTGACTTTGGCAGCATTCATGAAGATGGCAGCCCATGTTCTCAGTGTGGGACCCAGCTCTCTGGTTCTAGAGGGAGCAGAACAGACCTTATTCTCAAAGAATTGTGTCTGTTGGCTACCTGAAGGACTGACATAGGATGCTTACCTTTGTTTCACCTAAGTCGGAACTCAGTCAGGTCAGAAAAGTGGCTATGCGGAGGGTGTTCCTTGAAAACATTGTAAGGAAATGAACATGCTGCTGCCTGGGGCGAAAAGTATAGTTGAGGCAAACCACTGTACTGAAAGCCTGAGATGAAAACTTAGGGAGAGAGTTGCTTTGGGAAATGAGAGCATTCAGAAGTGCTCACATAAACTGGGGAATTTAGAAGCCATGTGTATGCCCATGTGTATGAACATGCACATGTGTATGTGGAAAAGACACAAGAAGACCATAAGCTTTCATCTTTGGCAGAACTCTAGACTCAGCACAAGCAGGAAGTGAAGGCTAAGGTAGGGTTGTAAATAATCTAGTTAAGTGATGAAGGAATATCAACACAGACCCAATCTGGGAGACTGGGAGAACTCCCCTCCTCCCTTCTCCTTTCCCCCACTTCCCTTTCCCCTCTTTTGGTTCTTGGCATTCAAGGAAATCCTTGTCAAAACACTAGCTGAATACAAGCTAAAGGAAAAGAGAGTTCAGAAACCACACAAGACAAAGAAGATCATCTTCACAAAAATAGGTTAGAAAAAAACCCAGTAAACAGTTACAGCCCATAGCAAACAGAAACAAACCCAGAGCAGGGGAAGTAATCTGATTTTCAGAGTTAGCACATGAAATGTGTTATATCCCATTTTCAACAAAAAATTTTTAAATATGCAAAGCAACAAGCCATTATTGTCCATTCACAGGAGAAAGGAACAGAAAAGGTCCCTGAGTAAGCACAGACATTAGACTTACTAGGTAAAGATTATTTATATCCACTATCTTAAATATACTCAAAGAGCTAAAGGAAACCATGGACAGCAAACTAAAGGATATTAGGAGAATGTTGTCTCAGCCAATAGAGAATATTGTTAAAGAGATAGAAAATATGAAAAGTAACCAAAGAGAAATTTCATAGCTAAAAAATATAACAGAAATGTAAAACTCACTAGAGGATTTCTTAAAAGATTTGAGAAGGCAGAAGAAAAAATCAGCAATTATAAAGAGGTCATTTGAAAATATCTAGTTACAGGAGGAGAAAGAAAAACAGAATAAAGAAAAATGAATGGAGCCAGAGATTTGTGGGACACTATCAAGAATACCAATATATGCAGAATTGGTCTCAGGAGAGAGAGAAAGAGGCAAAACAAAAATTGAAGAAATAATGACTACAACTCCCCAAATTTGACAAAGAATTTATCATCTATACATGAATTGGATGAATCTATACATCCAAATACATCAAACTTCAAGTAGTATAAATGCAAAGAGATCCACACTGAGATACAGTATAATTAAATTGTTTAAAAGCAAAGAAAAAAGCTTGAAGGTAGCAGGAAAAAAGGAACTTATCACGTACAAGGGATCTTTAATCAGATTAACAAATAATTTCTCATCAGAAACAATAGAGTCCAAAAAAGAGTGGGATGACATATTTAAAGTGTTAAAAGAAAAACTGTCAATGAAGAATTCTGTATTTGTCAAACTGTTCAAAACTGAAGGAGAAATTCACACATAAACAAATGCTGAGGAAGTTTGTCACTCGTACACTTGCCCTACAAGAAATGCTAAAAGGAGCCTTTTAGGCTGAAATAAAAGTACTCTAGACAGTAACTTGAAGCTATAATCACCCCCCTCCAAAAAAGAAAACTCTGGTAAAAGTAACTACTTAAGTAAATATAAAAGCCAGCATTATTGTATTTTAGTTTGTATCTCCTCTTTTTGTTTCATATATGACTTAACACACAAATGAATAAAACATCATTATAAGTCCATGTTAATGAGCACACAATGTATAAAAAGATAACTTTTGAAAATAACAGCATGAAGTGGGGACTGAACTTTATAGGAGCAGAGTTTTCATATATCATTGAAGCTAAATTGCCATCAATTCAAATTTTAGGATATTAACTGTAATCTCCATGGCATCCACTAAGAAAATATCTAAAAAATATTTTAATAAAGAAGACAAGAAGGAAATCAAAATGACACACTAAAATAAACTCATTAAACACAAAAGATGGCAGTAGTGAAGGAAATAAGGAAAATACAGAAAACAAATAGTAAATGGCAGAAGTAACTTCTTTATCAGTGATTACTTTAAATATAAATGAATAAAAGTCTCTAATCAAAAGGCAGAGATTAACAGAATGGATTTAAAAAAAAATTCACCCAACTATTTCCTGTCTACAAGAGACTCATTTTAGATGCAGTGAAACAAATAGGTTGAAAATGAAAGGCTAGAAAAAGGTATTCTATACAAATAATACCAAACAAGAGATGGGGTAGCTGTATGAATGTCAGACAAAATAGTCTTTAAGTAAAAAGTTGTTACAAAAGACAGTGATCACTATATATATTGATAAAAAGGTCAATTCATCAGAAAGGTATAAAAATTATAAACACACCAAACAACAGAACCCCAAAATATATGAAGCAAACATTTGACAGAATTGAAGGGAGAAATAGTTCTACACTAATAGCTGGAGACTTTGATACCCTGCTTTTAATAATATATAGAATGACTAGACAGAAGATCAAAAAGAACTTAAGTAATGTTATAAACCAACTAAACCTAACAGTTATATATAGAACAGTTCATCCAACAACAGCAGAATGCATATTCCTAAATGCACATGGAATATTCTCTAGGATAGAACATATGTAGGCCACAAAAGAAAAATAAATTTTAAAAAATGGAAATTATACAAAATATCCCCTTCAAACACAATGGAAGGATGCCAGAAATCAATAAAATAGAAGGAAAACTGGAAAATTCACAAATATGTGAACATTAACCCATTCTTAACCTATGGGTCAAAGAAGAAATCACAGGAAAATTAGAACACAGTTCAAGATGAGTGAAAGTGAAAATACAGAATGCCAGAGGTTATGGGATGCAGCAATATCAGAGCTAAGAGAGAAATTTAGAGCTGAGGATTTTCGAGAACATGAAAAAAACTTAGGGGTGTGGACTTAAGTGGTCTCTGAATATTTAGAATTAACTTAACACAAGCAACTTCCTCTCGTGTTATTTTAAAAAGCAGATCTTAAAAACCTAACTTTATACCTTAAGAAGAATAAGAACAAACTAAACCCAAAGCTAGCAGAAGGAAAGAAAGATTAGAGAGAGATAAAGGGAATAAAAAACAGAAAAACAATAGGAAGAATCAACAAAAAAAATTGCTTCTTTGAAAAAATTCAGCAAAATTGATAATCCTTTAACTAGACTAAGAAAGAGAGATGATGCAAATAACTAAAATCATGATTAAAAAATGGAAACACTGCTACTGCTCCTTACAGAAATAAAGAATTATGAGTGTATTATGAGCAACTGTATGCCAACAAAGTAGATAACTGAGATGACTTGAACACATTTCTAAAAACACATAAACTAAAAAAAAATGACCCAAGAAGAAATAGAACATCTGAACATACCAACAAGGAAAAAGATGGAATCAGTAGCAAAAAGCTCTCAACAAAGGAAATACTAGAACCAGATGGCTTCATTGGTGAATTCTATAAAAGATTTAAGAATAATTAGCCCCAATCCTTCTCACACTCTTCCAAACAAGTAGAAGAGGGGAAACACTTTCTATGAAGCTGATGCTGGGGTTCTTGTTTGTGGAGCCGAAGAATGAGCTTCACAGTCAATGTAGGAGAGCAAGGTACAGGCTTTTATTTAGAGATACAGTGAAAGGACAGAGCTCCCGACTCAGGCCAGGAGGGGACAAGAGAGTCTGTAGTGGTGCATTGTCTAAGGGGTTTTATAGGCAGCTGAGGATTTTCGAGAACATGAAAAAAACTTAGGGGTGTGGACTTGTTAAGTGGTCTCTGAATATTTAGAATCAACTTAACACAAGCAACTTCCTCTGATGATTTCTCTCTGAGATACCAGCATCTTGGTCTGGGAGCATATGAAACAAGGCCACCTGCTCAGCCCCCAAGGTGGGCTGAGGTATTGTTTGCTAAAGAGTAAGTTAAGAATTTCTAATGTCTTAACTTCTTGGGTATTAAAATGCAATCTTATCTTTAAGGT